CACGTCTATTTAGAGTTTTTAATTGTTTAATAACAATTCCAAGTTTTTTTGAAGGATTAATTGAAAGAAATATACATGATTGAAGATTAATAAAATAATGTCGATTACATAAGAAATTAATAATCACGAATTGGATCATAAGTTTTTATTGAAATAACTTGATGAGAATGAAATTTAAGATATGAAGAAAGAGAATCAATTTGACGATGACAATAATCATTGGATATAATGCCACGAAGTGAAATTATTTGTGAAATAAATGAAATTTTTTTATTTAATGAATTAAAAGCTGCAAAAATATCTAATGCATGTAAATAATCAAATATTTCGAAGAATATCTCATTTGATAAATCTTCAATATGTGTATGTGAATTCATTTTGTAGAAATATATCGGACGAATCAAAAATGAATTATATCGTAGAAATTATTGCTCGGGAATCAACTAGTTTATGAGCGAATTTGACGGCAAGAAAATGAAAAACAATGTTGACATCGATCGACGATTTGTATTCATATGTAAAACAATAGTATAAATGAAAGAGAATTATTGACGAGATCAAATTCGTCTAATTATTTTTTTATGAAAAAACTTTTCTTCATTACGTTGTAATCTTAAAATGAACAAAAAAAACATAAAGTGATCAGTTAATACTGATGTGTAGGCTATGGCTACTCTCCATTTTCTATGGCTATCGGTGGTTTTAACAATGACAGGGAAGTTGATTTTGGCGTGGCGAACAAGCAAGTGGATAATTTAATAGTTCTTCTACAAACTTGTTGATATTAAACATCTTGCTCTTTGTTTTTCTAGACTTTTTCTTGAACTAATCAGTGCTTTGCATGTTCACAATATATCACCAGATTACACTTTGAAAAAGTCTACAATGATAAAAGGAACAGCTAATTTGAAATTGAAACCAGACACATTGCTTTTGTCGCTTTGGCATCAACTTATATACTCAATTAAACCATTTATACTATTTAACAAATTCTTGAAAACATGTCACGAATGTGAAACACTATGTCGTAAAAACTTAGATAAGGTTTTATGAAATAGTTTTTGACACTCATAAAATATTTTGAAGTGCTTTTGAAAATGATGACATTATCTACAAATCCTTTTAGTATTTATTCACAGTGAGTAAAGTTGAATTATAATTGAATTTTTCTAGTTTTGATTGTCTACGGAAAGAAATAATCTGCACAAATCCGATTATAATGTGAATTTTGTTAAAAATGTGGCACTGTTACTCAAGACGTTTTACTATGGACTGACTTCTTAGGGAAGATTTTTCTTACGTCATGTTATGGCAGTGGAGGTTAGTATGTTCAAGCTATATTTCGATGAAAGAAAACTTATTTACTACATAATTTAGCCGCTATGGCTGTTTTTCTCTCTGCTACGGCTCTTATTTTGGCGATGACTTCGTTTTGAAAATGATTTTTAATATTTCTATGAAAACTGAATTTCATATCAATGATTGTTCACTGGCGAACAATAATGGAATAAATTAACCTAGCTACTGATGCATGAACAGCATTCCTATTTGCACTATGTGAAAACGAGATGTAATGTTTCAATAAGAAGTGCATTTTAACTTGAGTTCAGCAGAAGAACATGCTTACCACTCTAGGTATTCTAGTATATTATATATATGAGCTAATTTTGGGTGTGAGTGTCGATATGAATGAAGAGAAGTCACTCACACTCTCTCTTCTACAAACACCATTGATTTAATTTTCAAAACAAATAATTCTAAAGTTAAGTATTTTATTCGACAAGTTATTTTTCATATAACTCTCCATGTGATATTTGTGGATGATAATGTTTAAATCAGAGTCAAGTAGAAGAATTAAATCGAATACAATAATCGAAATATTATGACAGGGCTGAAATGTAAGTTTAAATATTCAAGACAATTTTGAAAATACATTAGATCGAAATAGAAAACATAACCGACAAATACTATCCGATCTACTTAAATCATCGGAATGTATCTTATATGGATAAAATTTAAAAAAAAAACGTCATTTTATAATTACTCTGTTAGACATAATAATATTCACTGAAATAAAATTAGTCAAAAAAATTTTCCATCGATTAATCTTGAAAAGAAAAATAGCTAGAATCGACTATGTGTCTGAAAAATCATTGAACCAAAAGCGTTGACATAAAGAAGTACACGCCGATCATGTTCATGTCAAATGATTGATATACCAATGTCACCAGAAACATTCGGGTGATTAGGCTCTACTCTACTAGTTTTTCGATTTTTATCTACGCGCATAAAGATTATTTCCTTTGTTGTACAACAAAAGTGACGATATTATAATTTTCTTTGAGAAAAAAATTCGAAATAGTATTGCATTTACTTTGTTCATTTTATCAATTAAAAAAAAGATCGTAAATACTAAAGCATAATAAGAAGTTACAAGCATTATTGCAAGTAGTTAACATCAATTCTTCTTTTGTTGAACGAAAATAATAAACTATTTATCAAGCATAAGGGTGTAGGTGTGGATTTAATGAAGAGTCACTCACACTCACACTCACACTCACACCCATACCATCACAAATTCATACTCTTAGATTAGAAGATAATTCGGGATTAATATCGACTGATAATCTTTGTCATACAATACAAAAAATTAAAAATCTTGAAATTCCAATAAGAACAAAAGATCAAATGTTGGATATCATAGATCAATTTGTTCATATTGATAATTTTGAATTTATATATGATGATTTTCCGAAAGATGATTATTTAGAAGTTTTTATTGAGAAGTTAGATCTTCATTGGTTGAAAAATAATTCGAATCGTTTCGGTATGAAACATTTTATATTTCGACAAGGAGAACAATATCAATATATTCAAATGTCAATTGGTGGTCCAAAAACTAAAAAATATTCCGAATATCCATATCTGTTGACTGAATAACTAAAATGATTATGTTCAGAAGCTGTTTTATATAAAAATAAAATCATCAGTCAAATCATTCGTTTACTAACGAAGGTTATAAAATCATTACAAAAATACGATGATTTTTAAAGCAATTAACAATGTAGAGTTTTATTCATATTCATTCATGATTGCTATCCGCAATAAGGTAAATAGATTCTTCAAACTTGAGATATTGATGAAATCTTTGCTACTCAAAAAGCGAAAGGTGAGTTTCTTGATAATTTGAGATATTCTGCAAGAAACTGTCAACAAACAAATGACCGCAATACAACAAGATTGTCAGCGGTTGAAAAACATTACGTTCATTCAAAAGAAAGCAAATTTCTTCAGTGCTGAAAAGACACATGATGCTTAGTAAGAATTCCACTGAAAAATATCGAGCTGATGTTGTAGAAAAGTCTACTTGCAGGACAAATAAACAGCATATTCGTGATTTTGCAATACAATTCGTTTCGAAATTGAAACAATTATTCAAAAAGTTCCAATGCTAGTCACTTTCTGCACCAGAGAGATCAAAAAATGGAAATTCATAAGAATATA